TAGAACTGTCACCTGTGGCCATCAACTATAGTTGAAAACACCTCTGTATATGTGCATTTTTGATAATTGGAAGAGAGACTGTCAAAAAGTCTTGGGTTAAAGAAGATAAATGATGCCTTTTTCTTCCGTTATCAGTTTTTTGTCTCTAATAGTAACTGGTTATTTGGCAAGAGCTGTTCTGCACATGGAAAAGAAAATGAAAGTAATTTGAAGAGATTTTCATCTTCCCTTAAGCATTTCTGTTCTGGTGGTTTGAATTGCTTATTGCTAGCTTGCTTCCTCCAGCATAGTTTTAAACAAAGATCAAAAAATAAGGTCTTATCTCGGATTGTAGAACAAATTGCAGAAAAAGAGACTGATGGCTTATGGCAGTCCGATGCCTCACTTTGTGTTATAGCAGAAGTTCACCTTCTTGCCATCTGAGTTGTTTATCCTTGACCATCAGAGAGCACTTTCTATTGCTGTGTTCCCGTGTTTTAGTTCTGTCTTTGGCATGTATCGTTTGGGAACTGGAATTCTCAGTTTATGCTTGCTGTCGCCTCTGCCCACAGCCAGCCTCTTCCTCTGAGGCACTCCTTCTGACGGCCTGACCCACACATCCGTTCTCCGCTCTACTGCGCTATGTCCACTGAACCTCTGTGGTTGTACACAGGACCTATTTCCATGTTAGAATCAGATTCTATAACTACAGTGTTGCATTTTGGTTTTTATCTTAAGAACGTTTATAAACATAGCCTGATAAGAACCGTTTCTCTTCTCCAGAACCCTTTGGTTCTGCAGATGGATGTGATGAGAAGAAAAAACACTAGACAGGAAAGCATGAATTCCAGCTATGGTACTGCTGCCTCCACTTGTGGGACTTTCCTCTTATTGGTTGTGTGACCGTAGGCGAGTTGCTTAACCTGTCCGGAGCTCAGTTTCTTCATCTGTTGAAAAAACAAATATCTCCATCATAGGAGGGGTGTAAAGATTGGCTGAGGTAACTTGTAACCTGCCTAGAGTAGTACCTGACACACCTCTGTGAAGGTTGGGTTCCTTTCTCATACTTCCTCTATTCTGATCTCCCAGCAGGGGGTTGGCATAGAGATGGGTTATTCAACAAGCAAAAACTAGTCTGTCGTTGCCCAAAGTTAATATCTTCAGTAGAGCTCTCTTCCAACCTTCCCTTCTTTCTGGTACATTCCTGCACCAACTCTCTTTCAGGCATCTTCAGTTCCCTGTGCCTGAAAAAATGCTGAAGTCTCATCTAATCAAATAAAGAAAAACATAATATGGAGAGAAGTCTTTTTGTTACTTCTGTTTCCGTTAAAGTTATCATCTGATCCCTCCTTTACTTAGCCAAGAAATTGCTTTGGAAAAGTCATTAGTTCTACTTCCTTACCCCCTGACTCAGTCGTCAATTAATGCTTACCAATCGATATCTCATCCCACCATTCTTTTGACTCTATTTTAAATTACCCTTAATTAAAACTCAGTCCTTAGATCTACATTTAACAAATAAGGATATTCTGAATCTCCTTGAATTGCAAAACCATCCAATAAAAATTATAATGCAAGCCACATATGTGATTTTAAATTTTCTAGTAGCCACATTAAAAAAGTGAAAAAGAAACATGAAGAAAGTAAAAAGCCATATAAAAAAGTGAAAAGCGATGATATATTTTTTTTAGCCCAACATATCTAAAATAGTATTTCAACATTTAATCAATATTAACATTCTTAATGAGATATTTTCATTATTTTTTATACTAAGTCTGTGAAATCTGCTGTGTATTCTATACTTAGAGCACATCTCAATTTGGACTTGTCACATTCCCAGTACTCAATAGCCATGTGTGGTTAGTGGCTTCCGTATAGGACAGTGCAGGTCTACACCATCTGGCTGAGTTTTCCTGGCACCCCTCTTTAACTTCCAAAGCAGCTCTTGGTTTTCACTGAACATCCCTGATTGCTCCTTCTTTGCATCTTTTCCACTCCAAAAAATATCTGCCCCACTTCTTCTCTACCTTAGTTCTACCTCCTCTGGGCACTGAATACCTGGAATGTCATGTCAAACCAGTGGGATGAGTACAAACACGTTGCTGGTCAAGCTGAAAGGTAGGAACTGGGAAGAGAAGAAGAATGTTCTCATTTACCCCCTTAATCCATCATTGCCCAGAACCAATTTCCAGTGCATACTCTGAATGCTTTTTCTTCTTCCTTCATTTCCACACCCCGCCAACCCTTGACTCACATTTTCATCCTTTTGCAGGGACCACATTCTACAAAATGTCCTGATGCATCATTTACTGTACTTATCACTCAGGCTTTTGGACAGCAGCTGATACAATTAAAACACTTATAAAAAGTGCTCTTGGAATATCTATGCAGCTGTCTGCAGTAGCTGCTCGCAGGACACAATGACTGATTTCCTGGGTGGCAGAGTATAATGGTTGACATCTCTCAGTTGTTTAGGATGTCTTCTTTCACATCAGAAGGACTCTGAGAACCTATTCTGCATGCATCCCACAGCACACACAGTAAATCTGATCTAAGAGGCTACTCACGTGTGTGAATGCCTCATGATGAGATGTAACACTCCTGTGATGAACTACTTACTTCTGAGTTTTATGCCAACTTATTTTTATGTTTCTTCCCAGGGTGCGTTCAGTAGTAAAAATGTGGTGATCTAGAGAGTCAGCATGCTTTATCAGGCAGGTATGTGATCAGGATAAACAGAATACCACCATAGATCTCTAACTATATTCTCTTATAGGGAAGAGTATCGCCACACAGGAATAGTATCCTTTGGGGAGTGGAAATAGTATTTGCCAAATCTAGGGGATGAGGTCAGTAGATACCTTCTAAAAATCAAAACAACTCACTCCTTCCTGGCTTTCATAACTGCTGGCATGTGCTAGATGACAAGTCTTTGACTCACAAAATTAAATAGGATGATCTGAGGGTTCAGGCTTCTCACCTGTTTTTAGAGATTAGCAAACACCTGTTTGTACCCAATTGTTATTCACTCAGATTCTATATTAACTTTCCCTATTAAAGCATTCTTGAGATTTCTGAGTTCCTCCTGCTTTAGCTAAGAATAAATGAAACTCACTCCCAGTACTTAATAAAATAAATGAACTCTGACAGTTAGTTATATTCATGATCCATTTTTCTTTGATGAAACATTTAAATCACTCCTCTAGTTGTATTTTTATATGGGCTCACTGTATCTCTTGTCGGAAATTATTTTTATAAAATTAAATAAATTAATAAATTTTACAACTCAATAAAATACTGTCTGTGAATTCTAATATGCACGTTATACATATCATCTAGTTCTAATTGGGACACCAGAAAGACAGACTATCTTCAAATAATTGTAAATACATAAACACAATACTTTAGATATGGGGACTGGCTAACGTGTGTATTATGCACAGATAACTAAATATTCTGAAGAAAATGAGGTGTACTTCGCAAAATTGCTACAGTCGCCATTATTCTTTTCTTTGCACTGATGGTAGCCTAAAATGTTGGTTAACAAAGATTTCCAATTAGTAGAAAGCAATTTTTTGCTTTCTCTTGCCCCAATTTTTTATTGTCTATTCCATGCTGGAAAATGCTAAGCATTGATAGGGACCGTTTGATCGCATACTCAGCTTTGTGATATCAGCCCTGTAATGGTAATGAAATGTCCTATTCTAGGTAGCCCCTAACTTGACTTCTGTGTAGTTGTGTGTATGTGTGTTGTGGTGTACATTTATTGTGTGGAGCTTCAGGGCTAACCTAACTTTCTCCTTAGCCACCTGCTTCACACATTTCTCCACGTTATAGGAGTTCGGAGAAATCCTGAGGTTGTTGCGGGCAAGACAACCGAGGCTGGAGAAAGACACAGCGTAATGCTAGGGCAATGCCCACCATTTTGAATGGGCTGCTTAGATTCATTTTCCGGGTTTTAACTAATTCCTCCTGATGACCAGGGCTGTAAGACTTAAGTTACTCAAGGATGGCAGCAGGGCACCGTGGAAAGAGCATGGACTTTGAAATAATGTAGGTTTAGGGACAAATCCTGGTTCAGCCACTTACTATATGATCCTGAATAAACTGCTACCCACTCCTCATCTCTACAATGATGATATCATACTTGTTACAGAGTTGTTGAGACAAATAGAGATGATGCCCCAAAAGCAATTAGCAAACTGTCTGGCATGTAGTGGGCTCTTAGGAATCAGTGGCTATGACGTGATCATGAGGATAATACCGTATAGGATTTGAGAGTAAAAATCCAAGTCTTTTTCCTTTAATTGGGATAAAGAATCTGCATCCAGCGGCCACATGTCATTGGTTCTATGTCAACTTATGTCATCATTTAAAAATGTACAGCTTCTTTCAAGTCCTTGGCTATTTGTTGTTTTAATACTATATAAGGCACGTATTATAAATCAAGTGTAAATAAATGTGAGTTATGCCCCTAGCCATTTATAATGTCAAAGGAATTTTAATAACGTTTCTCTTTATTTTCTGAATACAGATTTCGAGCAATTGCAGCAAACTACATATTTTTGCACTGTTTTATGGTAGAAATAGAATTCTACATATGCTGTTTAATATCTTCATGTGGGTCTATGTAACTATATTCAGATTCATATTCTTATCCAGGAAAGAAGATTTATATTCTAAAAGAATGCATGATTTATAGACTGTGTGAGAATCTATTTTGGTTCTTCTTTGTTAGGAGATTTTGAATTATTTTCTTCATGCCATGTAATCTTACTGAACTGATATATTGTTTTCATGCTTTTGAGGGATTATTTTGTTTTTTTTTCTCTTAAGCATGTAGAGATTGAAATGAAGAAAAAATAAAAACCCAATCATATTAATTTAATACATGAGATGAGTTTATGTCAAGAGAAATTGAAGTAGCTTAAGTTTTCAAAGGTTAAGGAAATATGTCTGATTTTTTACTCACTTATTCTAATCATTTGAAATTTGATCTCTCTTTGTTGCTTCCTACCTAGGTTACTTGTTGGTTTCAGAAAACCATAAGAGATTTACAAGAACAAAGTCTAGGTTCGTCACTTACAGACAATGAGGAGCTAATCCATAAGCACGAAGAACTGATAATAAACGCAAAGGTAAGAGACACATTAAAAAATAATTGAAAAATGCATGGACTTCTCTTGAATATGCTTCTATATGTAATTTAGAGGAGTACTAAACACTCTCTTTCAATAATCGACTATTTATATAGAAAAGATTCTGATAGCATTAGCTAATACCACTGCCCACTGACGGGGCTTCTAGAGTCTTAATGAACAAAACAACAGCTTCTACAGCTAAATCAGGAAGCTCTAGAAAACAAGAGGCTAACACTACTAGACAATGGTTGAAAATAACGGAGACAAACCAAATAAATATTTACGTGTTTGGGAGGATGAAATTTGAGCGGGGTTCAGGGGAGGCATAGATTACATTTGTCTAGACTGAAATCTCCTCATAGGGATCCAGATGCTTTTGCTTGTTTAAAACAGTTTTTTGCTTCTCTTTGAACTCTGCAGTAACATAGGTATTCAAAGTGTTTGGTTTAAATATTTGCTGGACTGCTAAAAGATTCAGTTACAAAAGACTGCTACCACTGATGATTTTTTAAGTTCTTTAAAATTTTTCAGCATTTGGTTTATCTGTTTAGGAAATTAGTTTTTTCATTGAAGTTATACAACAATTTGTTCTGTGTGTGTCAGACTCGAGTTTTATCAGTGAAAATTCTATCAAAATCCCTAAGTGCTAAGCACAAGAGATGACCTGAATTGCACAGGATGGTTGCTTCCTTTAAAACAAACAAACAAAATGGTATATTCACATAATTGAATACTTTGGGGTTATATTCACAGTAACTGGGGACTTATTATGGTTGCTCACAGCCCTGAGGACAGTTTGGAGTAGAATATTTGTGAACATATAACCTCAGTTCTGGTAGGGCACAGTTTCTGTCACAGTTTACAGTTCACATTTGTGGGTCTGATGTGCATAAATAGAAAAATATAGATATTCTTTCCATCATTATCCCTATATTACAGGCATAAGGGGTTTGAGAAATAAATTTTTAATAATATATATTTATTACACAAAATGCATCATAGAAAATTTCAAAACTATAAGAAAAATAAAAAGAATATAAAAATGAATCCTTCAACCCAAAGATAAGCATTATTGAGATAACCGCTATTAATATTTTAATGCATTCCCTTTCAACCCTCCCATACACAATTCTAGAAACACAACATTAGAGTCATGCTTTTTTTTTTCATTTATGACTTTATCATAAATATTTTTCGATGTAACCTAATATCCTTTAGCTGGAAAATATTTCCTTATATGGATGAATTCATATTGCAGGATTACATGTTTTGGTTATATGTAGCTGCTAAACCATATGAATATCCAAGCAAATATTATATAAAAGGGTACAAATTCCTGATAAACCCCATTATGTTCTAGACAAGTCAACTGCTTCCTTTCAGGGTCCTGAGCCACTCAGAAACCAGTTATAGATCTTATGCAGAAGCTGAACATTATACCATGTGTTCAGTAAGTAGTTTTCAAGCTGAACTGGTTTTGGAAACCGAGGCAGAGAAGCCTATTTCTCTATTATCATCTTTGAGAATAAATTTGGGAGTATTTAAAGGTATTAGTTTGCTTTGCTGGGAGTCCCTGTTTTATCACTTTTCTTAAAGCATTCTTTTTTTTTTTTTTTATAATTTTATTTATTCATTTTTCCCCCAAAGCCCCGGTAGATAGTTGTATGTCATAGTTGCACATCTTTCTAGTTGCTGTATGTGGGACACGGCCTCAGCATGGCCAGAGAAGTGGTGCGTTGGTGCCCCCCGGGATCCGAACCCGGGCCGCCAGCAGCGGAGCGCGCGCACTTAAGCGCTAAGCCACGGGGCTGGCCCAAAGCATTCTTTATGGTGTAAGATTTTCCTTCCAAACTATGGGCTAGTCTATGGAGCCCTCAATCTCAATAGTATCTTTAGAGATTACCAAAATATTGAGTAACTATTTAGACTTGATCAACCAAATAGAGATGAATACTCAAACACAACTTGTTGATTAAAAGGTTTTTAAGACGCTTTCCATCGTTGTGGACACTAGAAAATCCAACGACAAGATAACTGGTTGTTCAAGGTAGCAGAGGTCTCTGAATCATATGGGTTGAGAGAGACCCCTCAGTGTAAATGCAGAGGATGCAGTGTTGCTCTGTTCTGGAGTGATCTGGGATGGCTTTCCAGAAAAATGAGGTTGGAGCAGCTGGATGGGATGTGAGCAGTTGGTTAGGACATGGTGGTTCTTCCTGAATAAAGCAAAATAATGATCAGGCCAGTTTGTCTATGACAAGAATTAAAGGTCCCAGCAATGTTTAACCCAGAGAAGAGAGACTAAACCACATTGTCTCAGAGGTAATTAATACTTACCCACAGCCATTCCATAGGAAAGAAATGCTAACAATGCCTGGTCATTACAGGGAAGTAAACTTCCAAAGGTTGGGAAATAGAAGAGATTCCTGAGGCAGTGGAAGGTGGGCCTAGATGACCTCAAAACTCCCTTTAATCTTCAGATCCCATAAAGGAGACAGGATTTAGATTACAATATCAGTTACGCTTCTTATATTTAAAGCAACATGAGTGTAAAAAATCACCTTTTCAGAGCTGGCTGAAAGGAGTGGGACTAGATTGGGAAAATAACAACTTTTCTTAAAAGTGGAGGCGGTATCTCATTCATCTTGGTATTCTCAGCACCTGGGACAGTGCCTGGTACAAAAAGGATATTTGATTCATGTCTGTTTATTAAGCCCTTTTAAACTGTGAAGAAGAAAGAAACATTCTTTTATTTTCCTTCTGTGATTCTCTAGTGACTTTAGATAATCACTTATCCTCCTTTTACTAATCTATCCATCCATTGTCTTTATTTCTTTATTTTTAAAAAATTTTGGCCCTCAGAGGGGAGTTACACAAACTCTTTAATTCATCATAAGTCTCTGGCTTGGCCACTCTCTTTGTTTATTTTATTATTTCCCCCTTCATTCTCTAACCCCCTCACGTTCTCATTCTCACAGGCACACACTCTATTGGGTTCAATATGTGTCTTTAGACAAATTCCCAGTCTTAAAATATATACGGAGTTACATGTTTTCAATTTGCATAACTGGCATTAAGGAGTAGATCTCATTGTGTTTCTTCCCACCACACTGCTTGCCTCTAGTTTACATCACTCTCTGAGTTCTTCATTATGGTAATTCTTAGATGCGGTATAACTTGGGAAAGTCCTGTCACATAGATAGTGATGTTCTACTTCCATCCTTCATAACTTTAACTGCCTCTCACTTGTTTATCCCTTCCTAACACCTGATCTAGTTCACTGACTCTTCTACACACTCCTTCTGCTATTTGGCCTGCCTGCTGAGTTTTTCATTCAGCTACTACATTTTTCATGCCCAATTTCTCGTATTGGTTCTTTTTTATAACTCTTTTCTCCTGCCTCATCTGTCCAATATCCTTCCTTATATCTTAAGGTATACTTTATTCATATATTACATTTTTGGTCTGTCCAGTGCATTAATTCTGCTTCCTCTGATTTAGGTAATTTCAGTGTGTTGCTTGTGCTCATCAGATGTTATTTTTTCCTGTGAGTTAATATTTCTTTGGCATATCAGCAATTTTGATTGGTGAGGTATGGGAGATGTGAAAGCCAGTGCTGTAACCTGTCCCCTTCTGGGTGAGTTGAGAGGGTGCCCTTAAGTATGGAGAGATTCTGTTGTAATTAGGGCTTAACCATTCCCCGTTTGCCCCCCTATCCCGGGCACATACAAAGGAGGGGACCCCTTGGAGGACCTCCCACTGGTTGGACTCTTGACCCTGCTTTGTTCCAAGACCCATTTCCTTGGGTTCTATTCTATCCAGTTCACATGGTGGAGAGTTGAAGAGGGCACACTAAGGAACAGGTCAGGTTGCTTACCTCTCATATATTAGCTATCCACCTGGTCAGATTCCAGTGCTATCCTGAGGTTGTTTCTCCCCTCTGGCTGGTACTGGGCTGGGGCTACTATTTTCTGTCCTGAAAAGGTGTGTTGACAAGCAATTACCAGACAGAGGGGAAGAAAAAGCATCTCACCTAGAAAGTTTTCCCCTGGCATATCTCCTGTCTGTGGCATCCAACCTGACTCTATTCCAGAGAGCCATGTGCCCCTGACACTAAGACTCAACCACCTTTTGGCTTCTCAAGGAAGCCAAGGTTCTGTTTTCTATAAACTTTACTCTCACTTTGTTGGCTTTTACGGAAGGCCCAGCTACATAATTTTGGGACCCAGTGCAAAATGAAAATGTAGAGGCCTTTCTTAAAAATTATTGAGATTTCAATACAGCAACAGCAGAGCATGAAACCAAGCATGGGGCCTTTCTAAACACAGAGCCCTGTGTGATGACACAGGTCACCTACTCATGAACTGGTCCTATTTACAGTGTCAGGATTTCTGGAAGGACCTAGCAATCTTTGCTGGTTGGACATTTTCCTTAGCTACCTTTACTAACTTCTTCCCCCCTGGATTACCAAGTCTTCTAAAAACAGATTATAATGCTATAATGGGTTGCATCTACATGGAAAAAGCAGGTTTGAATCTCTGCTGTCACTTACTTTGTAACCTTGGGTACACTTGACATCTCTGAGGCTCACCTTCCTCACCTGTAAGGAGGAACTATGAAAATTCAATTAGGAAATGTTTGTGAGAGCACCCACATTTTAGTAGTGGCTCCAAAACTGTTGTTTCCTTTCCCATCCATGGTGTAAATGTTCCAGTAGTTTTCATTTGTGGTTTTTCAACAATCTCATTCCTTGTTCTTTGAGAAGGAATCCAATTTTATATGTCCTTAAACAGGAAGCAGCATATTACGTTTTGGACTTTTATTTGGGTTGGGTATGAGGAAAAGAAGGGGGAATATTCCTTTCAAAGGAGATTTAACATAGAAATAAGGCCTCAAGCTGGGGAGTCATTAGTGAAACTCACATAAATAATCTGGTAACACGGAGAAAGTAGGTGTTTCTGCTCCCCACAGCTAAAGCGAACAGCAGGAGCTGTTTTCTA